CCTTACGGTAAGTCCTGGCGTCCCAGGACTACGAGTCCCGGCATGCCCCGGGCCTCCCTTAGAGGTTACGTCGCCTTACGGTAAGTCCTGGCGTCACAGGACTACGAGATCCGGCCTGCCCGGCATCCCTCGCGGCCCGGAAAGGCCCTGGTTTGTCCGGCGTTTGTCTATTGCGGCGTCCTGCTGCCGCCCGGACCTCAGAGCCCTCATGACATGGCTCAGGCGCGTCCGCGGGTTTTCTTCGAGCGATTCTTTTGGGTACAGCAGGGTTTAAAGAGGCGCCGAGCAGCAGAGGGTGGGTGGTGGCCGGTACCGAGGCTTACAGTTTGATGTGGTTTCTCTGCCTGTTCCATCACTCCTATTTAAACATCACTTTTAAATAAATACAATTCATTAATAACCAGAGGAGTCCTGGTGGCGATGATATCCGACCCCTGGCTCCGAGGGAGGTCAGGTGTCTGCTCCACGGGGTCGCTGTGTGTTGAGATCCGCGCCAAGGCGGTGGGTTGGAGTGCATTGTGATCTTAATTGACTTAAAATACCCAATGCCGTCCAGTCGGGTCTAGTTTGAGGTTGTACATCCACGGAGGAGACTGCCAGCCTGCTTCCGTGGAGAGCTGGTGGATTCCCACTCCTGACTTTTTGGTTAGCTGTGCATCACACAGCGGACCGGTTCTTGACTTAGGCGTGGCAGTAGGGTTTCCTTTCTGTATGGTGATTGTGCTTTGCACTGGGCAACCCTGTTCCAACAGTCACTTGGATGAGAGTGAATAGTTATATTGCCTGTAAAGCAAGTCTGCGGAAATCTCAGGCAGTGCTGGCAATACCAAACGTGCAGCTGGATGCGTGCAGCACAGGCATGTATGAATGCAGAGCCAAAAACTCCCTTGGAAAAAATTCCTTTCGTGGTAATTGCAAGTCTACAGTAAATTTTCTCTGCAGAGCCTAATGGTGGTCCCGAGAGTCAAAGTGAACATGCAGATTAATTGAAACCAAATATTTTTTGTTAGAGGCATAGAATCAAAGTACTAATTTATAAACGTACTTTTAAAAATATTTGAACATTACGCAGTATAACGTTACAGAGAGGAATGTTCTGCATTAAAAAGGAACAGGCACTGTCAAATTCTTGATACAGCATATAGTCTTCATATCCTTAAAAAGAAGATATTTTCCTGGTATCAAATATATTTTCTGATAAAAAATCCTGAACAGCCTGAAACTTTCAACTATTCAATCCTTGATGTAAGTCAACAGTACACCAGCTCTTGCGCACAGGACCAATTTCTACTCAGCAGCGAGATTTTATTGGCATACAGCCACACACTCTCATGTTTATTTTGTCTGTAATGACTTTTGTGTTGTAATGGTAAAGTCGAATTGTTAAAAAGGGGGGGAAACCCCAGCCCAGCAGGCTCACAGAACTTGCTATATTTACTGCCTGGTCCTCTACAGAAAATTTTGCATACCTTTAGCCTAACATGTTTGCGCGACAAGTAGCCTCTGTTGTCTACAAATGCATATATTGTCCTCAAAATACCAGAGCCAACTAGTTTGGGTTTAAGAATTGGGAAAAAAAAAAAAAGACTTGGGAAAAATCCAGGTCAGTATATCCCCAATCTGATCTATACTCCTAAAAGTCAGAAATTGCATATACTTTTAATGCTTACTTTTATAATACCCACAATCTATAGTGGATAGTATACAGAACTTCAAGCAGAGGAAAGAATTTTCTTAGCTCTCTGCAACAGAGGGCTGACCTGCTAGCCTCTACTAACAAGCTGCCTGAGGGGGCAATCCTGATCTTCCCCAGCACCAGAGACAAAAGAGAACACTAAGCTGCAGTCTTCACAATTACTTGCTATGTGTCAGAGACCTGTACAGTGACTAGGGATGATAGAAGGAGAATTGATGCCTTTGAGCTGTGGTGCTGAAGAAGAGGGTTGTATACAGTGGACTGCCAGGAGAACAAACGTGTTCGTCCTAGAAAGGGTGAAACCAAGCTGCTCTTTGGACACAAGGATTCTGAAGCTTTGTCTGACATACTTTGGGTATGTTGCAAGGAGGGACTAGTCCTTAGAGAGGGACATTATGGTTGGAAGGGTAGAGGGACAGAGAAAGGGAGACCATTTATGAGATGGATTGATACAGTGACTGGGGTAATGAGAGTAAGTGTGTCAGAGACAGTAAAGTTGGTACAAGATAAAGCAGGTTTCAGGGCTATTGTACACAGGGTTGCTATGAGTCACAAGTGACTCTACAGCACATAACAGCAAGCTGCAGAAGAAAAGGGGAGGGGAGGCTCTGTGCCCAGAGTGAGCCCTCTCCATTGTGGGGAGAAGGGACTGAAGTGTTCCTGGGGTTATAGATTCCTTCTGGGGGTCCTTGCATCTTCAGCTGTGGAACCATCCCAGCAGGACAAGAGACTTTAAATGTACAAAACTTCAATCAGAGGAAGAATTTTCATAGCTCTTTGGGAGAGAGAGAGAGGGCTGATTTGAAACTTCCTGCACACAAGCTGCCTGAGTTGGCAGTCCTGATCTCTAATCTCCTGTGACTCCAGAGACAAAGGAAGATATTAAGCTCCAGGAGAAAAGGTATGTGAGAAATTGCTTGAGTAGAGCACCTGGTCTCATACCACTCAGCCACTTCATACATGAAGGAGGCCTATAGAGTTGGTTTCAGGGAACTATATCAAAGCAAGATTCCTAAAGGGCTACAGGGCAGAATAGAGAGAACTTCAAGGACCTTAGGAAAGGCAAACTTTCCCAGAAAGGATTTACAGTAGCGTGAGTAGTTCACCCCAAAGACTGAACATTTTAACTTGGCAACTAATTAGTAACGTTATAAAAGCAAGAACCACCACCAGCTTTCACTGACACAATAGAAAAGACCCAACACTTATCACGAAAAATTTAACATAATGTCAAGAAAGCAGCAGGCAGCTTCAAATACTGTGAAAAACAAGCCTACTTAAAAAAAAAAATAATTATATAGCGACCTCATAAATACTCCAGTGTCAAGAAGGCAGATAATCTATGTTGATACGGAGACATTCAAACAGCTATGAATGAAAGTACAAATAATAGAAGAAACAATGGAAGCCACAAATAAAGGGAATATGCAAGAGGTAGAGAACCAGAAAAAAAAATATATATATATACTGATGAAGAGTTATTTGAACAGCTACTGAAGAAGGTGTAAATGGTGGAAGACACAATGGAAACCACCAACAAAGCAAATGCTCAGACATGAAGCCAGAAGAAATATACTGATAAGGAGGAACTTGCACAAATAAGGAAGAAAATGCAAAAAAATGGGAGAAAGAATGGAAACTATAGATAGAGGTATAAGGCTTAAAAAATCATCAGAAGATAGAGTACTACTAGTACTACTATCATAGTACTAGAAATAACAAAAAGGCATAAAAATGCAATCCAGAATATTAAAACTGAAAAGGCAGTTCCATATGAGCCAGCTATTCCACTGCTTGAAATCAACCCCTAGAGAATGAGAACTGAGGTACAAACGGAGACTTGTACATCAGTGTTCATAACAGCATTATTCACCATCACAAGAACATGGTAACAGCCCAAATGCCCAACCACAATAGAATGGATTGAGAAATTATGCTACATTCACACAATGGAATACTATGCAGCACGCAGGAGTAATGCTTTTGTTAATCAGACCTAACATGGGAGAACTGAAGAGCATTATGCTAAGTGAAATAACTCAGTCTCATAAAGACTAAGACCATTCTTGTAGAATGAGTATGAGAATCGAAGGAAGGGAGAGGGGATATTTAATCATAGGGTCACACAATTTGATGGGTGGGGGAGGGGTGGGTAAAGGAAAGGGGAAAGATCTGGTGTGAAAAACAATGTATACAAACTTTATTAAGTAAACCAGTATAAAATTATATTTTTTAAAAAAACTAACT